AGATAGCAGTATGTGCTATCTGTAAAGAGCAGCAGGAAATGGAAACAACGTTGTCAATCAGATAGCAGTACCTGCTATCTGTAAAAAGCAGTGGGAAATGGAAACAACATTGTCAATCAGATAGCGGCATCTGCTATCTGCAAAGAGCAGTAGGAAATGAAAACAACGTTGTCAATCAGATAGCGGTATCTGCTATCTGCAATGAGCAGTAGGAAATGGAAACAACGTTGTCAATCAGATAGCAGTATCTGCTATCTGTAAAGAGCAGTAGGAAATGGAAACAACGTTGTCAATCAGATAGCAGTATCTGCTATCTGTAAAGAGCAGTAGGAAATGAAAACAACGTTGTCTGTCAGATAGCAGTATCTGCTATCTGTAAAGAGCAGTAGGTAATGGAAACAACGTTGTCAATTAGATAGCGGTATATGCTGTCTGTAAAGAGCAGTAGGAAATGGAAACAACGTTGTCAATCAGATAGGAGTATCTGCTATCTGTAAAGAGCAGCAGGAAATGGAAACAACGTTGTCAATCAGATAGCAGTATCTGCTATCTGTAAAGAGCAATGGGAAATGGAAACAACGTTGTCAATCAGATAGCAGTATCTGCTATCTGTAAAGAGCAGTAGGAAATGGAAACAACGTTGTCAATCAGATAGCAGTGTCTGCTATCTGTAAAGAGCAGTAGGAAATGGAAACAACATTGTCAATCAGATAGTAGTATCTGCAATCTGTAAAGAGCAGTAGGAAATGGAAACAACGTTGTCAATCAGGTGCAGTATCTGCCATCTGTAAAGAGCAGTAGGAAATGGAAACAATGTTGTCAATGTGATAGCAGTATCTGCTATCTGTAAAGAGCAGTGGGAAATGGAAACAACGCTGTCAATCAGATTACAGTATCTGCTATCTATAAAGAGCAGTAGGAAATGTAAACAACGTTGTCAATCAGATAGCAGTATCTGCTATCGGTAAAGAGCAGTAGGAAATTGAAACAACGTTGTCAATCAGATAGCAGTATCTGTTATCTGTAAAGAGCAGTAGGAAATGGAAACAACGTTGTCAATCAGAAAGTCATATCTGATATCTGTAAATAGCAGTAGGAAATGGAAACAACGTTGACAATCAGATAGCAGTATCTGCTATCTGCAATGAGCAGTAGGAAATGGAAACAACGTTGTCAATCAGATAGCAGTATCTGCTATCTGTAAAGAGCAGTAGGAAATGGAAACAACGTTGTCAATCAGATAGCAGTATCTGCTATCTGTAAAGAGCAGTAAGAAATGGAAACGACGTTGTCAATCAGATAGCAGTATCTGCTACCTGTAGAGAGCAGTAGGAAATGGAAACAACGTTGTCAATCAGATTGCGGTATCTGCTATCTATAAAGAGCAGTAGGAAATGTAAACAATGTTGTCAATCAGATAGCAGTATCTGCTATCTGTAAAGAGCAGTAGGAAATGGAAACAATGTTGTCAATGTGATAGCAGTATCTGCTATCTGTAAAGAGCAGTAGCAAATGGAAACAACGTTGTCAATCAGATTACAGTATCTGCTATCCATAAAGAGCAGTAGGAAATGTAAACAACGTTGTCAATCAGATAGAAGTATCTGCTATCTGTAAAGAGCAGTAGGAAATGGAAACAACGTTGTCAATCAGATAGCAGTATCTGCTATCTGTAAAGAGCAGTAGGAAATAGAAACAACGTTGTCAATCAGATAGCCATATCTGATATCTGTAAAGAGCAGTAGGAAATGGAAACGACGTTGTCAATCAGATAGCAGTATCTGCTATCTGTAGAGAGCAGTAGGAAATGGAAACAACGTTGTCAATCAGATTGCGGTATCTGCTATCTATAAAGAGCAGTAGGAAATGTAAACAATGTTGTCAATCAGATAGCAGTATCTGCTATCTGTAAAGAGCAGTAGGAAATGGAAACAATGTTGTCAATGTGATAGCAGTATCTGCTATCTGTAAAGAGCAGTAGGAAATGGAAACAACGTTGTCAATCAGATTACAGTATCTGCTATCCATAAAGAGCAGTAGGAAATGTAAACAACGTTGTCAATCAGATAGAAGTATCTGCTATCTGTAAAGAGCAGTAGGAAATGGAAACAACGTTGTCAATCAGATAGCAGTATCTGCTATCTGTAAAGAGCAGTAGGAAATAGAAACAACGTTGTCAATCAGATAGCCATATCTGATATCTGTTAAGAGCAGTAGGAAATGGAAACAACGTTGTCAATCAGATAGCAGTATCTGCTATCTGTAAAGAGCAGTAGGAAATGGAAACAACATTGTCAATCAGATAGCAGTATCTGCTATCTGTAGAGAGCAGTAGGAAATGGAAACAACGTTGACAATCAGATTGCGGTATCTGCTATCTATAAAGAGCAGTAGGAAATGGAAACAACGTTGTCAATCAGATAGCAGTGTCTGCTATCTGTAAAGAGCAGTAGGAAATGGAAACAACGTTGTCAATCAGATAGCAGTATCTGCTATCTGTAAAGAGCAGTAGGAAATGAAAACAATGTTGTTAATCAGATAGCAGTATCTGCTATCTGATTGACAACGTTGTTTCCATTTCCTACTGTGCTTTACCCCCCCCCCTAATTTCTTCTTATAGGTATATAAACATTCACGGACTGTACACTCGCTACCTGATGAAGAGTGGTCCCCGCTCAAAATGTCGTAATAAACTTTGAATTAGTAACTCCGACAGTATGCATCTTTGACTTATTAACTTTTCCGGGTCCATTGTTTTTATATTTACCTTACTTCACCTATATATAAATACAACCGCACACACACACACACACACACACACACATATATATATATATATATATATATATATATATATATATATATATATATATATATTCCTATACGGAAAGCAAGTCGTCTTCTCCTTGCGCACAATTTGCAGTGACGTCAGAGCGACGCCGAGCTCTGATTGGCTTTGGTTGAAAGGATAGTGGGTAGACCTCAATGCTAGATGCCTTGAGGTCTACCCACTATTTTTTTCCAATCAACCAATAAGAGCTCGGCGTCGTTCTGACGTCACCGCAACCTTTCTGCAAGAAGCAAACGAACTGGCGGTCCGCATTGGAAGAGAAGATTCCTGTGCAAATTGTCGTATAACCCTTCCGAATTTATGATTGTGAGTTAAGTATCACCGCCATGTTCTACTAGCACCTCTTTGCAGCTGTGGGTTGCATACAAGAGTTGGCTTGAAATGTCGAGGCCAGTCAACTCTTTATCGTTATTAGTGCATTGCTGCGGCCTGTTTTTGACTCTATTTTTCGCTATAACGCGTTCTACGGGAAAAAAGAAGAGCAAGGCCAGCAAGGTCCAACACTATGCTGACCTTGCCTCTGATGTTTCACAGGGAAGAATCCTTGGGTAACTAATATTTATTTATATAGCATTAATATTGTTAACATACCACACACTGACGAATTCGATGCAAATGGAACAAATGTTTTTTTTTCTTTTTTTCTTGTTTCGAACATTCTCTTAGAGTGATGGAAAACGAGTAGAAGATGCAGCTGAGCGCATGTTTGAATGTAGAGAATTGAAATGATACACTACGAAAACAAAATATAGCACGATCGGGTACAACATGTTCTTGGTGATATACTCCTAAAACATATATATATATATATATATATATAAATATATATATATATATATATATATATATATATATATATATATATATATATATATATATATATATATATATATTGATCAGATACGACCGGGAATGTTCCGGTCAATTGAAATTATTTACAAGCTCATGGAAAGGGATCATTTCTGCTTTGATTAAATTACCAGCCCAATGGACCTTTTCCGAGAAGCGTTCTGCGCACGCGTGAGCGCCCGATGCCAAGGGGCGGAAGTCGGCACGAAAAATCGAGGAAATTCAGAAGGAGGCCGTGGATCAGCGAGTAGAACACGCAATTTCAGCATATCTATAATTGTGTTACACAAAAAAAGTTGGACGGAAAGAAAAACACGACGTTTGGGTGGACGCCATGGATGCCCCTCTTTAAAGTCGCGTTGGGCACGCGCCGCAGCTCAGAGAGCGAAGAAACTAGTAGCGTAGCTCCCATTATCGATTGGTAGCGCAGGTAGATTACTTCCTCGATTTTTAGTTTGTGTAGCCAACGCCTGGTGCCCTCGGTATGTGGAAAAGGTCCGTTACATCCTCGTTTACTTTAGCATGCCTTTTGCGTTTCAATATGGGTTTCTTTCTCTAATACCTGCTCGGCCAGTTGCTTGTTCTGCAGAAATTAGCGGTGTATTTAATTGATATTATTTCATATCGCTGTTACTCTTGTTCAAATTTTCTGAAATATTAACTTCTTATAGAAGAAACATTTTTCTGTCAAAAACTAGCAATTTACTTTTTACACGAAATAAAATGACGCCCGCAATACTTACTTGAGAATTGCACCAACAGAGCATTAACACACAGATTCCACCACTCGCATTACGTCCTGTCAAGAGTACTCACCAACTACATGGCACACAGGTGTCCCACCACCCATCAGATTCCAAAGCTATACGTACTAAACAGCAGCTCATACAAACTACAGAAATTGGAAACCCTCCAAAAAAAAGGTATATATTTCATGCTTGACATAATTTGTTGCAGTTATGCTCATGTTTGTTTCTTTGTTTTGTGAAATGGCATTTGTCATGTGTTAGTGTTTCTTCGGTGTAGTGGCGCCTTAATTTTTTTTTTTGTGCTATTCCTTGTTTTAGCGGATGAACGGTACAGGTGTATGAGGCCTCGTCAGGGCAATTGTGCTCCTTGTTGCATCCTGTAATAAAGCGTATAGCCATTTCAAATTTCGACCAATTTATAAGCCATTTCGAAAACAATACTGACAAATATGGTCTACGTGTTTTGGTCCCGCTTTGCTGCCAGGGGATCAAACTGGAGAGCATGGGATAAGCCTGCGTTCCGCATTCAACTCCTGCTCGTGGTCTTCCAGACGTTGGTGGTCTTCGGCACGCGAGAAAACATGGTACCCTTCGCGGCACTCAAGGCCACGCCCCTGCGCGAGCTTCGACCGGTGCCCAGCGCGGGTCCAGATCAGCTTGTGGCGCTGATCTACTCCAGTGGCACAACTGGACTTCCGAAAGGCGTTATGCTTTCCAGCAAAAATCTCATAGCGAATGTCTGCATCGCAAGGTCAGTGTGAAACAAATTATTTCGATGGCTAGATTTCCGACTTTTATGACACACGTATGAACTATACGGCTACAGACACGGACAGCTTAAGAAACGCGGAGCTTGGTCTGTTATGTCCATTCACGATCCTTACTTCGTGATTGGTTCTTTGGCGTTCTTATCGGTTAATGCCGCACTCCGATTGACTGAGGAGCCACAATGAGATGCGCGGGACTCGCCACGCCCTGGGACTCTGTCGGTGGCTGTAAATGAACGTGGCCCAAAATGAGTACTTTTATCATTCGTTTAATCTTTAAAAAATTAAAACTTTTTTTTTTAAGGGAGATTGAAGTGAATGTTTAGGTAGCAGTTGAAGGTGAATGGTGGTGATAAATTATTCGGAGTGTGGCGACACAATTTTGCATCCTATAGGGTGTTTTCAATGATCGAATTTCGTCCACCATTTTGTTGTTGCGAGTTGTCCGTCGTGCACTCTAAAAAAACGTTTGTGCGTCTACTTTCACGCACAACTCTTAGAGAGCCAATCACCGCAACTTACGGAGGCAGCTCAGCGAATGACAATGCCGGAACATATGTTTAGACCAAAAAACGCAGTCTGAGTTGTGACATTAAGCAATGCAAAAGGTCATGCTTGCATTGCTTAATGTCACAACTCGGACTGCGTTTTTTGGTCTAAACATATGTTTCGGCATTGTCATTCGCTGAGCTGCCTCCGCAAGTTGCGGTGATTGGCTCTCCGAGTGTTGTGCGGGAAAGCAGACGCACGGGCTTTTGTAGAGTGATGGGCCGAAGGTGAGCATTCCAAAAATTTACACGACCCCCTCAAATGCGCGGAGCATAGACTCTTATAAGTCGTGCCACGCTGACATCTCAACAGGTTGCAATGTAGTTCTTCAAATCAGTAAATTTCTTTGAAAAAAAAATGGCGCATTGCGTCATGTGAAAACATCCTATACCACCTCAAGAACCGTAAACGTAGTAAATAAAGTTCAGCTCCTCCCGGAATGTTACTAAATTCTCTTTTCGTGTGATGGATTAAGAAGATTTGCAGGGTCCTTCGTTCTCGGGTAAAACCCGACATTTCCCAATATTTACACCCCGGACGTGTTTCTTGAAAATCTTATTAAGCCCGATTTTCCCCCGAATTCGGAAATTAAATTGCGGCATTTTCCAGATTACTCTGCTCAGAAAATATTTACTAGGAAACATAGAGTTTATAAGGACGCATGCGCTAGCCCCGGAGCTTGGGAACAATATCCTAGATAATTTTCATTTAAGCGAACTGGAATCACATAGGATCGAGCCCTCAAATGTTGCCTCTAGTCCATTGCGAAGTATCCTTTGTCCTTCTTTTTTTTTTTTTTTTGTGAGAAAGGGTGAGAAACTACGTATTTCAAATGTATACGCAAGATGTAATGCTGAGAGCGTTCCCTCAATGCAAATACTATGCCCGAAAACCGGACACGTTTAGGATGGAGGCAACGATGCTGCGAATGCAGTATATTATTCAAGTAACAAGGATTCATGAACATTTTAAAGGCCCATGTGAGCTCTTACCATGTTTCAGTGCTATATTGTCTACAGTACTTTAATCAAATATATTTGTATTCAAACAGATCAATTGTTAATTATACTTGCATATTTCTAAATATAACCTGAAAACCCTGAGTTTTATAATTATTAATTAAAAACCCGATTTCTCCCCGATTACCATCTTGGATCAAAGCGCCCGATTTTTACCTCCCGACTTTTGAAAAATATAAAACCCGAAAACGAAGGACCCTATATATGTAAGTGCATTCTAAATTATATTTATGACAATTTATTAAAAAGTGACATCGAGTATAGAGGTGGGTAATTCTCCTGAAGGCTTAAGTATTATATTATAGTATTATTATTAATCGTTGTGTCCAAGACGATATTACTCTCCGACATTAATCCTAATTATACTAACATTGAAACAATATATATATATATATATATATATATATATATATATATATATATATATATATATATATATATATGGTGATTGAGAGAACGCAGGCCAAATCGCTCGTGCGAGAACTGTTTCATCGCAACGAAAAAAGGCTTGTGGCGTTGTGGTCTTGGGCCAGGGGCCCATTTAAGAAAATTATTAAAGTCCGGGATAATTAACTTGTTAATTATTTTAGCCTAATTAACTTTTTTAATATTGTGTTTTAGGGAATCGTTTAAATTAGAAAATTGCTCAGCATCATCGAAAACCCCTAAACCAACCTATTGCAGAAGATAGAAGACACGCGAAGCATTTTACGGCTTTCTGAAAAACCACACAAATTCGACGGGCTTTTAAGTTTCGGTTTGTTATCGGAGCGCATCTCGGCCCCGGCAGCACCGCGCCCCGTGGAGAGATAGTGCAACCAGCCTCTGCTGCGTCGCGCGATGAGAGCGCAGCAGAGGTTGGTTGCACTATCTCTTCGCGGGGCGCGGTGCCGTCGGGGCGTAGATGCGCTCCGATAACAAACCGAAACTTAAACACCCATCGAATTTGTGTGGTTTTTCAGAAAGCGGTAAAATGCTTCGCGTGCCTTCTGTCGTTCTTCAATTTGTTGATTTAGTGGTTTTCGATGATGCTGAGCAATTTTCTAATTTAAACCATGCCCTTAAACACAATATTAAAAAAGTTACTTACGCAAAAATAATTAACAAGTTTATTTTCCAGGACTTTAATAATTTTCCTAAATGGGCCCCTGGCCCAGGACCAAAACGCCACAAGCCGTTTTTCGTTGTGAGCGAAGCGACTAGTGTTGCCAGCTTGGCAGGCACGAGCTCCCGAAACACGCAAACCTCACTCAGGGCACACTGCAGCTGTGGAGAACGAAGTGTCGTGGAATTCTTTATTACAGCAGTGTACTAAATGAGGTGTGACGGTTTGAAATATATTTTTATAAGCGAGTAATGTCAGGTGAATATGCTGTTGTAATTTAAATAGCAGGAAGTCATTCAAGTTGCTGTTTCGCGGCTCACTGACAAGTGAAGCAGAAGCGTGGGCAGAAATAAACTGTAACAAAGTAGAGAGGTAGGCGGAAGTTAGTCCTCGTTGTTACACTACACTATGTTTAGCCGGCATGCTCTTTCACCTACACCATGTTAGCGGCGGAAAAAAGGTCGCGGAAGGAGCAACCACGGGTGTTAATTTTCGATCAAACTATACCTAACGATTGATATTCGCACGCTCGAATTAGCGGTCTCGGTATACATAACCCCTCTGCGAGCTCGCTACCTTCACTGCAGCATCGACACCGCGTAAACTTTGATGATGCACGCTTAAACGGAGCACCATTGAAGGCGGCGAACTTCCGCTGAGGTCGAGTGGAACATGTCACGCTAAACAACCCTCACATGGTTTCGTCTATTTTTAATCTTTCCTCGAACCTAGTGACCCTAGGATTCGTTCATTTGGCAAGGACGACATTATCTTGGGAACTTCACCCCTGACCCATGTATCAGGACTCTCCATGTTCAACATCACGTTTGGTAGCGGAGCTTGTGTTGTCCTGATTCCGGGATCCGAGCCTACCAATACTCTACCAGCCGTCGATAAATACAAGGTAACAGCGGGAAATTCGTTACCTTTCTTCTGTTAAAATATAGTCTCATCTCTGATATTTTCAAATTTTCTTCAAAAACAAGATGGTCCTGGTACTCTAGTAGAATGGCGCTCATTGGCAATGTGTACAGATTGTGTGTAGGAAGAAAGATTGCGTCATACGCAGAGGCGGATCCAGGGGGGATACGCCACTGGCCTATAAAGGGCAACTCCGGTCGAAAACGAAACCAAAATAAATGACTTTAGTGGCACGAAATATGATCACATTCGGAATGTTACGTCAAACTGAAGTCGCGTAATCCACTAAGACCGATTTTAAAAATGCGACCAGCTGCTCTTTAGCAGGTGGCAAGCGGGTTAGCTTTTAGTCAAGGAACACTGGCGCAGCACCCTTGTGACGTCACGTCGCGATGGAACTGCGGTTGGTTGGTTGTTCCCAATTACCTCAGTTGTGGAACTCCCGCGAAAAGGGGTACCCCCCCCCCCCCTCCCTCACTTATTTCAGTCCGCCTCCCGTCGTTTGAAGCGCCATCTGGATTTTCGTCTCATCACTTTGTGTTCCATAGAGTACGGTAGAACGCCACCTAGATGCTGTGCTTCGAAACGTACGTATTCCATAGAATACACTGCAGTTATTGTAACAGCCGTCCGGCTTGTCGAACGACGGGAGGCGAGTCGCGGTGAGTGAGCGGAGTACTGCTCGTTCAAGCAGCGTCTATGAGCAGTTCCGTAACTGAGCTAATCTAATAATGTTGGTTGTACCGCGTACCGCAGTACCCTTGTGACGTCACGTCGCGGCCGTACGGCTGATGATCAGTGTTGCCATTCATCCAGCAGATAGTTTCGGTTTTGTCGTAGACTCCCGAAACCAAACTTTGAGCCGTGATATCTATAAAACTACACAAAATATTGAGAGAAAACAATGAAAGTTGTTTACAACTACCTGTAACGCCTCATTAAAGTGCAGTTCTTGAGGAGGAGGAGGGGAAGGGTACTGAGGGGAAGGTATATCCTTCCTCCCTCCTCCTCACCTTCTCATCCTGTCTGCTACTCTTCCCTCCGAGCGGCGTCGCCGTCGTCTCACGAGGGTCACGTGACTTCACGGGGGTCACGTGACCCCTATGAGGTCACGTGACGTTGACGATGACGTCATCAGTGACGTCACTGATTACTTTATTAGTGACGATGACGATGACGTCATCAGTGACGTCACTGATGACGTCATCGGGGACAATGACGATGTGGATGCCGATAACGTCATCGGTGGATGCCGGCAACGTCATCAGTGGCGATGACGTTGCCGACGACGTCATCAGTGACGTCACTGATGACATCATCAGGGACGATGACGATGCTGATGCCGATGACGTGATCTGTGACAATGCCGATGACGTCACTGATGACGTCATCAGTGACGTCACACGTCCCATATTGCACCACGTGGTTACGCCGACTGTGACGGCGACGCTGACGCCGCTCAAGCCGGAAACGGGCGCCTAAGACCTGCGCCCTAAAAAATTATACCTTGCAATTCAAGGGCACTGATTTAGCTGAAAACAGTCGCAATCCCGAATTCAAAAATATTGACCGGAGTTGCCCTTTCATATACGCAAGCACTTTGACCCCCTCTCCACCCCTCCGCAACCCAATTAATAACCATTCCAGCCACCCAAAAAAAAAAAATTCTGGCTAGGCTACTTGTATGGTTAACTTTCTGTAATCACCCTATAAATGGCGAGTATTTTTTATCGTCATACTTTCACTTTACACCCAAAAACAACATATAGAGTGTCTTGCGTACGTTGGGGGTCGTTCGGATATATTTAGTTCCGCACTTGGGCGGCACATCATGGCGCAGTTCAGAATTAACGGGCGCGCGCCTTCATGCGAGAGTTGGAGAGGATAGCGCACGCACGCAGCTCAGAGAAACCAAGTGACGCAAACGAATCAAGTGAGCTGCGTTAGTCAATTTATAAAACTCACTGTTTGTCACTACACCTTGCCTGCCACACCATCGAAATCAATTAAATACATACATTCCGCGTCCGCTCCCTGCCACCTAATACAAGACGGTAGGCGTGCTTCGCACCCCTTCTGCCTTCTATACGATATTATAGCTTTTTTTTTCTAAGTATTGACTAATTTTAACAGGGGAGAGGCCGGAATGAAGATCCGTAGCTTGCCCTCCACCGGTGTAGCTTTATCACACTAAAAAAAAAACTTTCGGCATTTCTAACAGACAAAATTGCTGCAACTCGTAATTCTGTCTAAATTCCTGCTAAAAAATGTGCGTGTTTTTTTTTCGTTTTTGTTTTTGATTTTTTTTTTTTTTTTTCAGGCAACTTTGCTGTTTCAGTTTCCGACGTACATCCAAAAGCTGGTGCAGAGTCCGCTTTTGGAGAAGTACGACGTGAGCAGTCTTCGTATTCTCTACTTCGGCGGTAGTTCAATGCCATCTGTTGTCGCGCGCGCAGTAAGATCCAAGCTAGGCACCACATCCCTTAAGCAAGGTAAGCACACTGTTAGTTGATGAATGTTCTATCGTGCTCGGGGCCGTCTCAAATTGTTTGCAGCGCTGATCAAATGTGACACGAAACGGCATGTGTGGTGTTTAAAGTTTGCACTATGTTTTCCAGGCTACAATCGCACACATGTTACCAGTAAGAATTTAGAGCTGAATTTGCTGTATCAGCTTGAATTAAATTGGCTCAAATCTAGACCTGAAAGTTGAAACTATCTCTGTCATAGCCTGCTATATTCTGACAAAGCCTGCCAGATCGCCACGAGAAGCGGCCGCCAAAATGGAAAAGGTGGAGCGGCAGACGACGGATGAGAGGAGAGCCACGTGATGGCGCCCCGCTGCGGCGAGACGCTGAAACACACTTCTCCCGAGCGAGCGAGTGTGTTTCGGGCCCTCACCGCTGCAAAAGCTGTGCGCTGACGTCCAGGTTCCCCCAGTGGGTTCCCCGAGAAATGGCTATTTGATGCTCTGTGCTACCAGATCCTCGCGCTCTAAATCTGCGACCGGGCACTCATGGCTCCGTCGCCGAACTGCCAGGCTTTGTGAGTGTTGAGGAGGTTATGTCTCTGTACTACGAAGCCTTCATACAGGTGTGCCCGATAACTATATGGATGTCTGGAAGGGATACTACCATAAAATTTCGGCGCTTATTTTTTTTTTTTTGTCTATATGTGTTCAAAGGAGCAGTATCACATCGGACACACCAATGTCTTGTTAAAAAGGACAAGCAAAAGAATTTTGAAACGAATTAAGCGATTAGCAAAGAGCACCTGGTGGCTGTCGCTAACGCCTCGTTTGTAATGCCTGTCTAGGAACCTTCACAAATAGAGACGATAACTGACTCGTCTCTGGCCACGACGAGAGAAGAGGGGAAAGAGAAACTCCCCTCTCCCCGAAAATCTCTTTTGTGTGTCCCAGAAGTCGCTATTAGGGAGTTTTAGAATAACGTACGCAATTTCAGCGCACGCTAGCGCTAAATTTAGCGCTTGTATTAGCGTACGCGACGCAAGAGAGTTTTAGAATAGCGTTTCTCCGTCGCGACGCAAAAGCCCAAGCAGCTCGCGCTTGCGACGCCACCAAGATACAGTCACAATTTTTATTTCACACACGAAATGCTGTAACTTTAGGAACAAACAAGTTTTTTGGTTCAGAGTACTATTTTATATTTGTTTAAATATGAGAATGCGACGCGAGCGGTTGACCGGTCGTGTCCGCTTGCGTCGCCTCGGCAAGAGAGGTCTCGTGTACTGACCTTCGCACATCGTACCTTCGCCGAAAAATGTTCGCGCGTCGCAAGCTTCAAGTAGCCGGGGATCGTTGCCAAATTGAGTACAATGTCGTCCCGTATTGAAAATCGCAGTCGCGAAAATACCGCCGACGTCGCGCTCACGACGCCGCCAAAGCAGCCCCGCCGACATAATCCTGGAAGCCGCCATTTTTTTAACTCTGCTCGTCTTGGCTTTAGCCAACTTCTCATCACGAATCCTCCTTGGAGAAGCGCAAAGACTCTTTGCGTACGCACGCTATTTCTGAGAAATAGTGCACGCTAAAATTGCGCACGCAAAGTGCAAAACCTGGTTTGCGTTCAGAGCATGCGCAGTGGCGACGACGCTATTCTTTGCGTACTCAAAGCTTTAGCGTGCGCTATTCTAAAACTCCCTATTGTCCCTCTACAAGATTATAGAAGATTAACCCGTCACTCAAAATTCGTATAAAGCAGCCACTTCGGTGGTTGGAACGACTATAGTCAGTTACAGGTTAAGAAGGTAGCGGCAAATGCCCCTCAAAGGGAATCAGATATCCCTCCGCCACCTCCGCATCCAATAGCGTCCCACCGTTTCCGTGACGTCGCGGCCAACGCGCGAGGAGGGTCTTGCCTTTCTGTACATATTTGCTTTATCTTTCGACTTTGACTTAGCATTGTGGAAGCCACGAGAGGGAGATTAGAGTTCTCCCCCAGCGACGGAAACAAATACGACTTTCGGAGATTAGCTTCCCCCCGATGGATACAAAGGCTGCTTTCAGGGGCTCGGTTCCCTCTCCAATGAATACAAAGGTCGCTTTCTTAAAAAGTGGGATCGGAGACAAGTGGGAATCCATTGAAGCGGAACAAGGAGCGTTTCCAGTGAACTCTTCTTTCGACTGCGGAGAGATTTGAAACAGGCGCATCACACTTGTGGGAGGAGCTTCTCCTACCTTCTTGACTTGTAACCGACTATAGACATCCTCTCGACGTCAGCCTTGCAGGAGCTTTGCTCGCCTTGAGACGAACTACGTCACGATTGCGGCGGTTGTCACGTGCTCTCCGCTGGCTGCTCTTCGAGTGCTTGTCAGAGTAAGCCGTTTATAACGAAAAATACAGCCACCAGGCTCAAAATACAATCGTGCGATTGTCATTTACTGACATTGTGGATCATATTCAACCTATTTTTTAACACGACGGGTATATTTCAAATTTCGTTGAAGTATCCCTTTAAAGTCCTCCGTCTCGGTCTTGGTCCTGCTATAATATCGTCGTTGCAAACGTACTGACTTACAAACTATGTCTGATTTCGTGCCCAGCGTATGGACTGACCGAAGTCTCTGGGACGATAGCACTCACTCCACCCCACTGCGAAGACACCGAAAGTATCGGGAGACCTCTCCCCATGACGCGGATGATAGTAGGCAAACCTTTTGTCCTCGCTCTATTCCTCAGCGCTGTTTGCGGAAAGAATGGCACACTCTAGATTTCTCTTCTTTTTTTTTTTTTTCTCTCTCTCTCTTTTTTAACAGGTGGTGGACGTGAACACGGGCATGAAGCTTGGACCCCGTGAGCACGGAGAGATTCGCGTAAAAGGACCGACCTGCGTGAGCGGATACTTCAAAAATCCAGAAGCCACCGCCAAGCTGTATGACTCGGAAGGGTTTCTTCTCACGGGTACGGCAATATCCGTAGTGAATTGAGTAGCTGTATGTGCCTACTTATGCGGGGCTAAACGCAGAGTAAGTGCCTGCGTCATTTTTTTTTTTTTTTTGCGGGTTTGTTAGGTGCGTTTATATACAGGTCAAATAAGGTCATCGAAGGAATTGTGCACTTTCAAGTAATTTTACATTTCGGCTTGTAGACATTATTCAAGCTGACATAATCATGGCATCGACTAGAAAATGGGCGAACGATTGAATATTTTATCCTCCCTAGGTTTTGTTTTGGCTTGTAAATGTTTTCTTTCCTTCTTTTTTTTTTTTTTTTTTTGCCGAAGAAAAAGTGGAAAGCGAAGAGGGAGATGGGGATCAGTTCTATTTTATTTTCGTCCACCCCCCCTACCCCCAAGGTAAACGTTATTCCTTTTTTTTTTATATAAAAATAGAAATTTCGTTTACCATAGGCATATACATTAGAGGGGTAGTGAAACGAAATTTTAGCGCCGATCTTGTTGCATAAATATGGGCTAGGGACAGGCACCACCTCGGAAATATAAATATTGCGCTGTAAAACACAGGAGAACTAATTTTAAACATAATTAAACGATTTCAAATTCTCATCTGGTGGATGGGGGGAAGTTCTCGTGACATCACTTGTGGCATAATAGCAGCGCCGTTCTGCGGCAATACGGCGTGCCGGCAGAATTCCCCTAGGCCTGAACGCGTTTGCAAAGCCTTGGCGGAGAAAGCCAAAGCGTAGTTGGCCACAGTGAGCTCGTTCTCGTTGCGGCTCTTTGCACGACACGACCCGAGCATGCTTCTGGCACGGCCGGTATTAGTTGCTGCGAGTCGCGAGCTGCGAGCCGACGTTAAAAAGGATATGTTTGAACTACGAGGGTGTCAGCAAGAGCCACGCAAATACCTGTTCACACTCGGAGCGGACACGCGCGTTTGATCGAAGTGCTGGATTCGCTCTGTTAGACCGCGTTTCGGTAAGCGCTTCTGGACCGATCTTTTACGATTGTAACTCGATACTGACATGACACTCGGCAAAGAAAGGTTAGACCAACATAGCGTAGCTCCCACGAACTGCTATATAGCTCGACAGTGACGTAGCGTCTAGTCAGAGTAAAAATGGCATACTAATAACAGTGTACATACCGAGTTGCGAAGGTAATCCGTATGGCGTTTATTTGAGCTCTATATCACACAAAACAAGGAGATAGAATCAATGAGAGTCCCTTTTCGACGACAGCGTTCGTCACCGCTGTCTCGGAAAACAAGGAGATCGAGATGACAAGGGGAAAATATTGACCACTGAAATTTAGTTCAGGGATCAAACTACTCATCCGGTAAGGGTCCACAAGGGTCGCGCGGGCATATTCCATTCAGCAGGCCAGCCGGTCATGGACAGACGGTCTTGGCCAAGGACCGCCGGAGCAACGGTGCGCCGAGTCGATGTTGCTGCTAGGCCTACTATATTCTGCCGAGCTCGCTCGGTCGGCAGAATCGTGGCCTTTATAGCTCTTCTCGTGTGTTTGTGGATCCTGCGTTTTTGATCGTCGTGGTCTGTTTTAAGTACTCCTTCCTTTTTTCTTGCTGGTTGAAGTCGGGACGCACGAGAAGAGCACGTAGAAAAATAAATGTCCGTTGGTGGCCGATACCAAGTAACTGATCGACGCTGTCGGCCTTGTTGATTTGATCGTAAAAATTGCGTAAGACAGCTTCGGAGCTGTCGTAGGATTCTGTCGTAACCTGCGCAAAGGTTACGACAATTTCGTTTCGAGAGTACGGGTTTTCTCTCAAATTTGTCGTACGCACTTTTTTCGTCGTGAGTTCGCTTTGAGAATCCGGCCTCAGAGCTGGTTTTGTCAGTGCTGCCGTGGTTGCCGACTTGCCGTGGTGCAGCGTGCGTGCAGCGGCGCAGCCCTTGCACATCTCAAACGGCCACGTTGTCACAGGTCGTAAATCGTCGACGCGCCACCAAGTGGCAACGCTCGTAACCACAACATTCACGCCGTAGCCTTTCCCGTCTGGCACAAGTGACGTCACGAATGCGCCCAATATCCCAAGACGCATCGCGCTCTCCGATGGCCGATTTTTTAGCGCTCGCCCAATCGGGCCCATTAGGGTGAAAAATATAGCCATCCGTTCAAAATACAAACGCGCGATTATGATTTATGAATATCATTGATCATATTGAACCTATTTCTGACCATAATAGGTGTATTTCAAGTTTCGCTTCAGTATCCCTTTAAGGTGATAGGGCCATGAATGGTCGTAAACTGGGAGTTTTTCAAACCCCACCGGTGTCTTTCCGCGATACCGTACTCAATCTTAACTTGCTCCACTTTGTGTACACTAAAATTCAACAGCTATGCCATCGAAACCTTCGAGCACTGGTTTTCTTTCTGTAATCAATTTTAATCGATGTCTGGGGCACGGTGGTCTGGGACCCGAGTCCACAGCAAATCCAGACGTTGATACACCTGGCGCCATCTACGAAGAATGTATTCAACTACAGCTCTGTTGACTCGCCCTTGTCGTTTAAACAAATCACGAAGCTGGTAGAGCAGTGAAAATGGCCATATGGAATCGGTCAGCTTGAAAACACTGACAGTTATTGACATTATAAAAACAAAATTTACAAAACGGAAAAAAAAAAAAAGCAACACGGGTACGGGCGTGAGGTTCCTACCGTGCTTAGGCTAATCAGAGTAAAGGCTGATGAGTAAAATGCATCACGTAAAGGAGCGTAAAACAAATAAAACAGCGTATAGCTATAGGTGCTTTACAGTAGTAGTCGCTTGTGCATCTTGGCGGATTAAATTACAGACTAATGCTGATTTTTATTGAAACACATTGAAATGGTCATGCCAAAGGGCATTTTATACCGTGAATGGTATTTCACCATACCGTGAATGGTATTTGACATTTTCACTCGGTAGAGTTAGATCTTCCTCGCCAATTACGCCACACTTCTGCGAATTTTGCTATTGTGGGCCCCCGCATTGGCAAACAAGTGAGCCTTGGTTCATCTCGCGAAAGCGAAAAAAAAAAAAAAAAGTTCCACTACAAAAAGTTACCCGGTTATTTGAACTGCTTCTGATACAAATACCGAGCTGAAATGTGCGATGCAACAGTTCTTGTCCTTCAGTAAATACTGCCTAAAATTATTCCTTGATGTTCATAACCCATAAAACACGAGTTAGTTCTTTTCTCCACATAATACCAGTCGCAAAAAAAAAGGAAAAAAAAACGAAGAAAAACGAGTAGCGTTTGTTTTCTCAACTCGCAGCCACACTCTAAAAAAAAGCCTGTGCGTTTACTTTCCCGCACAACACTCGGAGAGCCAATCACCGCAACTTACGAAGGCAGCTCAGCGAACGACAATGCCAAATCATATGTTTAGACCAAAAAACGCAGTCTGAGTTGTGACATAAAGCAATGCAAAACGTCACGCTTGCATTGCTTAATGTCACAACTCAGACTGCGTTTTACGGTCTAAGCATATGCTTCGGCATCGTCATTCGCTGAGCTGCCTCCGTATGTTGCGGTGATTGGCTCTCCGAGTGTTGTGCGGGAAAGTAAACGCACGGGCTTTTTTTAGAGTGCAGACTGCGTGTTTTGGTCTAAACATATGTTTCGGCATCGTCATTCGCTGAGCTGCCTCCGTAAGTTGCGGTGATTGGCTCTCTGAGTGTTGTGCGGGAACGTAAGACACACGCGCTGTGGTTGGCAAAGCACAGGGTACGCGCCCAGTTCCACACAATAGAGAGTTTTAGAATGGGAGGTCCCAAAGCGTGGGGGCCGGCCTGCATTCTAAAGCTCCTTATTGCTAAGGTTCGGCTATTCCTGTCATCGCAGCGATTGGGCACGAGCCACTACCCGAATGCATGTCGAAGCATTGATTGTTACGTGCACAAATCGAATGCCCACGCAGTGCTCGTGCCCACATTATGAGCCGCATTTAAATATCGTCACCGCGGGACTTGCAAAGCTTGATGCCGATGGATGGATGGACGGATGCTAATCGCTGTACTCTTTATAACGGGCGGTAGCTTGCGCCACCTAGCCTAGAAATTAAAAACAAATGTATGATTTCTCTCTTCGCCCTTCTAAGCCAATTTGCAACCCCCATGCAATTTTGTGAGTGTCACCAGGCGGTGTGGGTTATCATCAGGATGACCTTTAGAGAATCGGGCAAAACAAAAAACTAAAAACATCACCCCCCCCCCCCCCCCCCCCGCCTTTCCCCCGGCGAGGGACCTAGTCGGCGTTACCCCAGCACCGGGCCCACTGGTAGACAGAGTTGAGATTTTGGGCCTGAGTCACGCGGGAGGAAGTCGCAATTTTCCTCTGTCCCGCCTGTACCCAGCTGTGTTAGTTAGTTACACGTCATTTAATTCTCCCTAAATAATTTCCACCAGCTTTCCGATCTCCTCTTGGTCATTAAAATGCACTTATCATCCATTCCATCCTCGTCTGCAAACCCCAAACCTCCGGCTAAATCCGTCGCCCCCTCCGAGAGGGCGAGAGCAAGCCCTGCGCACCTCAACGCCGCATGTTCTATTGTTTCGTATTCCCCTTGGCATACGGCACACTGCGTATCTATGTCCTCCATGCGTTGTCCTACATATATATAAACGCTTTACACACGCGCCAGATTACAGCCGCCATTGCAGACATTCTCTTGTCTTACCAAGATATGGCGAGCCACTGAAACGGGCGTTGACGAACCTCCACAAAGTCCAGTGCTGGGGGAGAAGAGCACAATAGAATCTAAAATGACAATAACCTGACTTGCTATGGTAATGACGAAGTGAAGTAAACAGATTAGGAGGAAACAAAAACTGAAGGTCGGTTATGGCGCCTCCCATGCACAGCGGCTGCAGAACGTCTATATGTCCTATATAGTCCGCAATACTCCTGTTATAGCCTCAAATAACCACGAGCTCCCCCGTGCATTAACCTACCAATGTTTCTTCCTTATTTCCTGTTTTTGTCCTCTATACGTAGTTAAAGCTGATTTTCCCTGCATTCTTACTCCCACATCTTTCTCTCGGCTTCTTTTACTTCCTTTTCAACTTTTACTTCCTCTGCCCCAGCACTTGACTGTTGATATTTGAATTTCAATTTTCGGGTTCGGTTTGTATATTTAGTGTTCAAACTTTTCACATATAGACGCTTACATACCTTTCTCCCGTATCGTGTATCCTCCATTGTGTCTAGCCTTTCTTCAAATTTCAACTTACTGATCGCCTCTCTAACCTCAAAAGATGTCCAGCCCATGTAACCCTGCACTCCTTCATTTGGTGCATTTCCATGCGCCCCCAGTGCCAGTCTGCCCACGCTCCTCTGCCGGGTCTCTAAGCTCCACTGGACCTCAGATTCCCTAAGGATTGCATTGTTAACAACGCCAAAAATACAATCCCCACAACTTCTTCATCAGGGCTTGCGAGGGAGAGACTGGAAGAAAACACGCACTTTTATCCTTGAAATTTCGCGGCAACAAAAACGTTAGTGCCAAATAAGCCTGTGTAAAGTTAGGAACATTCCTAACAATATTGTTACAACTTGCACGGCACCTTAAAGTGTGCATTTTTTCTCACACTTTTTGAGTGAAATAGTTAGCGTGTCTTTTCATCGCCCTTTCCGCTCTTATATTTACGTGCTGACCGCGATTGTTTTTTTTTGTTGTTTTTTTTTTTTGTTTTGTTTTGTTTTTTTTCTCAGGAGACGTCGGTTATTACACCGAAAACGGAATGTTCTACGTCGTGGACCGCATGAAAGAGATGATCAAGTGCATGGACCAGCAGGTGGCACCTGCTGAGCTGGAGGACCTCCTCCTCAAGCACGAAGACGTCAAGGAAGTCTCCGTGGCCGGCATTCCTCACCCGGAGCATGGCGAAGCAGCGCGGGCCTTCGTCGTTCTCTTCAACGGTTCTTCCGGGGACGAGACCCTCAAAACGAGGCTTCTCAAGCTTGTTGCGGGTAACCAAACGCCTTCGGAGATGATAGCCTCTAAGTGGAAACACTATGTCCTTGTATATGTTAAGCAAAGTTTCTGTTGTTATTGTTATTGTTGTTATTGCTATTGTTGTTATTGTTATTGTTGTTGTTATTCTTGTTATTGCTGTTATTGTTGTTGTTATTGCTGTTATTCTTGTTATTGCTATTGTTGTTATTGTTGTTATTGCTATTGTTGTTATTGTTTTTATTGTTTTCATTGTTGTAGTTGTTGTTATTGTTGTTGTTGTAGCTGTTGTTGTTTTTGTTGTTGTTGTAGTTGTAGTTGTTGTTGTTGTTGTTGTTGTTGTTGTTGTTTTTGTTGTTGTTGTTGTCGTTGTCGTCGTTGTTGTTGTTGTTGTTGTTGTTGTTGTTGTTGTTGTTGTTGTTGTTGTTTCTGCTTTTATGTAAAGTTTGTAAACCTTTCTCGGCAGACGAATCTTCTCCCCACAAGCACTTGCACGGAGGGCTGGAATTTGTGCCCAGCATCCCCAAGTCGGACACCGGCAAGAACCTCAGGAGAGCCTTGAGGGACGCCTTTGTGAAAAATTCCGTTCAAGAATGAATCTGACAGTTCAATCACCTATTGCATGAAAGACACTTATAAAACATTTCACTCGTGTCGCTCTCACGATAGTGTACGGTGAGAAATCGTTACAGGCCTCTAGCATGAAAATAATTGGTCGTTTTCATCGGTTCAGTTTTCTAAACCATAGCGTGTTTATATCATGATCATTAGCATCGTATACGTTAGTGACTCACGTATGCAGCTGTATGTGTTCTTCTGCTTAATAAATAATGGATTAATTAATTTCTCGTGTCTTGCCGTCCCGCTGATTAAGTGGTTCAGTCATAGGCGTAGACTACGGGGGGCATCGGGCTCGTGCCCCTAATGAGATCCGGGGGGAAGGGGGGGGGGGGGGGCTCTGCCCCCCCCCCCCCCCCCCCGCCCCCCGGGCCATGATCTCTACAGAGACGCTGTTTACGTACCATGTAACGGGCGTCTAGTAGTGGCATGTAAACAAAATAACGCACACAGCGACGAACACATGGCGATATACATACGCTGTAAAATGTACCCCCTAAAATAAACTACTGATAATTGCTGGTGTAAAAAAATATTGCGCGAAAAAACGGCCGGCCCCCTCCGGGAAAATGGAAAGTCTACGCCGCTGGGTTCAGTTAAGTTTTACTTCCTCAAGGGTACTCAAAAGAGAGCACTTTACATGAAAGGGGGGGGGGGGGGGGGTAGGTTACAACATAAAGTACACAGCATTACAAAACAAAAAGCAATTAAAAGCAATATAACTGTACACGCTTCAACTTTTTTAAACACGACACGGATTTTTTTTTTTTTTTTTTTTTTTTGTGTCATGCAGCCTCAATATTGAATTTGCGGAGAATATGTATCCAACCAAACCACGTCCTTATAAACAAGCAAAAAATGGCGTTTTTTATGTCAAATGTGATAATACTACTCAACAAGGGTTTGTTTTGCTAGATTATGTTTAACACATCCAACGAGCCAGCACACAGTTGCTCGGTGGGTGTATTTCTCAATCTTAATATGAATTGAGAAACTTCGTCAAGCCCGTTCTCGCGTGCGACCTGTTACTTCACCTATGGCGCAAACAAGTTCATCAAGAAACTTCGACGAAAGAGATGTCATTAAATCCACTGAGTCAACACAGACACGAACCAATACATCAATAAATTAAAGTTTAGATAACAATTGTGACGCTGAAGGAGTTAAATGTTTACTTTGGTAAAAAAACAAAAAAAAAAGACACACTAAATAGATGCTGGCATTTAACAATCGATAAACCAGGATGAATAAATAAAAGCAAAAATACTGCTGAACCCATGGATTTATCAGCAAATTGCGTCACCTTCTCAATTTTTTTTTAATTCTAGCCGTAAATGTGTGTCTATGTTTTGTTGTTGTTGTTGTTTTCTTTTAATAGAGTTAAGCTTTTAGAATATTTTATAGAGTTTTCAACCCGTGTGAGGGAAGCGCCTCTTCGCAACATTGAGGTAATATAATTAAAGGAAGATCCATTGGTGGATCCTTGGGGAATGCGTTCGCATGACTCTTGGGAAACGCCAGCGGCATCCGCTGCTGGTGGATGCCGCCTTAAAGTCCGACCTACAGAATCGTCTTCTACCGGGGAAAAAACCGGTTCCCAGTTTCATTCTCTCCATTCCCACTCGTCCACTTTTCCCCTCCTCTCCACACAAAAGCGGATCTCTGAGCTACTGCCGGTAGAGAGGAGGAGGGTCTCCCTCTTTCTCAAATGGAACGGAGGAATTGAGGAAGAGTTTCCTTCTTTCTGCTTGTTGGTTGTCGGGGAGGCCTGCATTGGCGTCGCGGAGGCCTGCAGCGCGACGGTCGGCACGGCCGGCTGCCGACCAAAACCAGTTTTCGGCTTCAGCGGCGCGACGGTCGGCACGGCCGGTTGCCGACCAAAACCAGTTTTCAGCTTCAGCGGCGCGACGTACAGCGCCGCAGAGCCAACCGCTCCTTGCGCGGTTCAGAGCTCGCCGCTCCTCGCCGCAGAAGAGAGGAGCCAATGGGAGGTGGCGTAGATAGTGACGTTGCGATGCCATGGCAACGCTCAAGCCGGTCCTCCGCGCGTCCTTCACGTTCCAAGGACGTAGCGTTGTTTGTTTCGTGTCGTCTGCTATCCCTTTTACCCCCCCCCCTCCCCCCCCAATGCCTTCCCCAACGGAGCGGTTCCTTCAAACTGAGCGACTGTTTCCCTTTTTATATAACAAGACGCAGCCAGACTACCTAGATAATGACGCTAAAAGCAACCGCTGGGAAATTATAGAAGAGGAATTCGGTATTACAAGCGAGTTTCTCTGTGGTACTTGTTGCATGTCGTCTGTGTTGTGAAGGATGTCGCGTTGATTTAGTGACACTTTCGAAAGCAGCCTTCATCTCTGGCGCGCCGCCGGGGCAGCAAAGCACTGACCTGTCCTTTGATGTTTCGGTAGAACCGACTCGGCCGAACCCAAAACCTGCGCCTCCTTCCCTTCAGAGCGCGGCGACGTCGCACGATCAACGAGCAGGCTAGGATAATCACATTCACGCTGATCACCAGGTCATCATGGACACCTACCATGTAGGCAGCGATTGCGGTTTCGATGCTGATATATGCGAAAGATGAGAGCCGAAACGGAAGAACCTAACGATGAGCAGACGACGAAAGAGCGAAAAATCCGAGGGGAGGCGCGCGCGCGATCGCGAGAGCCAGTGCTGTCACGTGACGCCCACAAAACGGAGGCCAATGTCGACTTGGGACTCCTCGCGTTGGGACGCCGGACAGCGGTGCCGCCCGGCGGCGCCGTTCACGCTTGTGTGGTCAGGCCTTTACGCTGCTCTCGCTGTTCACCGGTTTTGGCAGCTCGTCTCCTTCGTTCACAATCCGTCTTCTTTTGCCGCCCACTTGGACCAACGCTAGTACTTGGTTCGCAGTCCCCTTTGTAGCGCAAACCAAGGCATACGCGCTCCCAACACCTCAAGTTCAGACTCGCCCCTGTATCCGCTTCCGCGCGCGCATTGGCTTCCGCCCCGTGGCGTCGCCTCTCTCTCGCCTTTGTCCTTCAGTACTCTCCTCCTCTCCACGTGGCGCACTTCCTTCTCCACTGTTTCGGACGCCGTCAGCTCCGCTCTTTTGTCGCTTTCTTTCTCGTTTATTTTTTTTTTTTGGGGGGGGGGGGGGGGGGGGGACGTCGATGTCAAACCTCCAGGATTTGCCGCGTTCTGATGCCGTCTTTACCCCTGCTTCGCAATGGGGTACGCGCACCTGTTCTCCTACGAATCGCCAGGAAAGGAACAAGAAAACTATTCAACCTTCCCTCGACTTCTGTCACCTGCAGCAAGATTACGTTTGCTTGGTTATCTTGTGGGAACCATTGGGTTCCCTATATCCCTATATAGGCATAGCTTCAAGCCGGCCGTGGGAGTCGTCGTCACCAATGGCGGCGGCTACTCGGATACGATGAACCGAGACCATATTCCCCGAAGGGGACGGCTCTCCCTCGCCCACGTAGGGTAAGTGTGCCGCCGGCGCACCCTTGAGACTTGAGAGTGATAGTGGACGCGACTACTACCGGCCTCTCTGGGCGCGTCCATATTCCCGCAGATTACATAAGCCGGCCCCGAAGGAGGGCCGGGGGCTCTCGTCGGTGGATGCCCTGGCTCTACGGAGCTCGGTTTTTCTTTGTGAGCCTCCGACTTCCCGTGAACCTGTCTATTGCGGCAGCGCGGGAAACCGAACGGGTGATACTGACAATTGAGCCAGCGCCCAAACTTTTCCTGTCTAAGAGCAAAGCGTATTTGAGTCACTAAACACGTGGAAAAGGGACTCACTGTGTTGGTGTTGTCTCTCATCCACCGGTGCCCAAAAAGACAGTCAGTGGACGGACTCGGCCGTAGCCGCGCAAAGAGCGGACTACGGAAGGGGGATATACCTCAATGAGGACTTTGGGGGACGAAGTGGAGGGGGGGGGGGGGGGGGGGCGGGGGGTAAAGTATAGTCCCACAATCTCCAGTACAGTCACAAGAGCAAAGAGGTCCTGAAAATAAAAATGAAAAAATCAAAACAAGGTCATTGGCGCCTCGAGCATATATATACAAACGAAAAAGTACGAAATAGTGGAAGACCCATTGGGCAGATCCTTAGGGAATGAGTTAGCATGACTCTTCGGAAACGCCACACACGTCCCCCTTTGGGAAACGCTAACGCTGACACCTTCACTTTTCTGTTTTGGCTCTCTCTTTTTGCCGTCTTTTATGCTTCCTCTATTTTTGCTGCCTCTTTTTTGGCTTCGTAACGGGATCAGTGTTAGCATTTCCCAAAGGGGGATGGCGTTTCCCAAGGGTCATGCTAACGCATTCCCTAAGGATACACCAATGGATCTTCTTTTTTTTAATTTTTGTAGCGACAACCAAGGCATACGCGCTCCGCACACCTGCAAGTTCAGACTCGCCCCAGCATGCGCGCCCACAATGGCTTCCGCCCCGTGACGTCACCTCCCTCTCGCCTTTGTCCTTCTCTACTCTCCTTCTCTCTACGCGACGCGCTTCCCTTTCCACTCTTTTGTCCACAGATGGACGCCGTCAGCTTTCCCCTGTCATGTGGGTACTAATGCAAACGTATTAATAAAGAAGCATAACGAGCAGCGTCTCTATCACCACGGCACGGATTTCGGAGCCGTTGCTTCGGCTCAGCTTTGGCAGGCGCAATATGCCTTGCTCCGACGACCAGCAAAACATTGACGCGGACCCGTGAGTGGCTTGAGTAAACTGAGTTTGATGATATCCGTGATATTTCGTGATATTTGTGAATCGGTGATATCAGATATATTTCGTGAAGTTTGGTGATATTTTGTGATATTTCCGAATTTAACTTTGGTGATATTTCGTGATATTTGAGAGTTTTACTTCTGTAATATATTAATACAGTTAATAAGCCTGAGTTTGCGATATCAGTGAGTGCGCCTGCGTTGCAAGTCGCTGCTAAAATAAGAAATCAGAACCTTTTTCCGTTTTTTTTTTTTTTTTTTTTCGGGGGGGGGGGGGGGGCGGGGTGTTTTGTTATATGAGGGACGGTGAATATTCGCTCTTGATGAGTTTCGTGAGATGAGTAGTGATGACATTTGAATCTTGGTAAAATTTGTGATATAAGCGTGAACGAATTCTAGAAAACGTTTGTGAACGTGACATGATATTGAAAGACTCGAGTCCAAAATGCCAGTCTATGGCGACAGGAAGGGAATAAAGAAGACAGCACTAGTAACAACGAC